CAACCAGGGCTGGAGTCTCAGCCCACAGGACAGTCATTTCATTTTTTTTTTCCAAGTATCCCACTATTTCCCTCTTAACTCCTGCTGAGTACCTCGTGGTGCAGACATGACACCTGCTGTAAGGGTTGCCTGGAGAAGGTGAGAGGACAGGAACATAAGTGTATGACCTCTGTGAGGGCTGCTCTATGTCCCTGATCTCAAGGTGTTTCCCAGGACCAGGAGCATTAGCCCCACCTGGGAACGTGCTAAAAATGCAAATATTCCCACCCTAGACCTACTGAATCAGAAACAGCAACCTGCTTCAACCAGTCCCTCCACGTGACCATGCTGTAGGTAGAAGTTTGAGAATGTTAACTCTAAGCTGACCGCTAGACAGCACCAACTTCAAAATGAAGAGATGCTATTTTTAATTACAACAGAACTGGTGTCCTACAGAATCCGCATGAAAATATGACTCCTTACCGCATGCCCACATATCCACTGGCTTTCCATAAGGATCTTTACGTAAGACTTCTGGAGATAGATATCCAGGTGTGCCAGCAAAACCTAGGGAAAACAGACGTTGATGAATCAAAACCAACTTGACAAAACCAATACGAAACAGCAAACTAAGGAAGAAAATTTCTTTGGGCTTCTTTATTTGCTGATCTGTTCATCAAGACAAAACAAGGCTCTCAGAGTACTAAAATAATGGGGTCGAGTTTCTCTCCATAACAGAATCAACACTAATGTGTCCTGCTTTGGAGCTTATTAGAAAAAACACATCTTTCTTCCCAGATATGAAGGCCAATCCATTGTGCCATGTGGTCAGGGTGTTTACTTTCAGGCCACTTGGTTAGCAGTTCTGATTCGCACTGACTTATATGGGAGTTAAAACTGAACCTGTGAAGGGGATCAGAACATCCTCCCCAACACCTGAAAAGAAATTAGGAGAAAACTGAAGATAGGGTGAGAACCCTGCAAAAGATGATAATTATCATGATGCCTACCTACTTTATTATGAGAAGTAGTCATTCATAAAATAAGACTCAAAGCATAGATCCTAGGGACAAATTTAAAGCAAATTTTTAGTAAATATTTTTGAAAGTGAGGTAGTCTGTGGGTGGGTGGTGCTAACGGTAACTGAAGAACTCTCTAGGAGAAGAAATAACCTCAAAATATATCAAAGAGCTCGCCATGTACTAATAAATCAATAATCAGTGTGAACTTGTAACTGGAAACTAAAGAGAAGACTTGGGAATATTCAGTTAAATCACTATTGAACAAGTTTCAGCTAGAATTTTAATGTAAGAGACATTAAGTTGGCAGATGGCAAAAGGAAGTTTCATATGCTATAAATCAGTGTAGAATCCAATAAGGTACACTTAAATCACAACTTATAGCTAGAATCTAGAGTAAAAGATTTCTTACTTCTGAAAATAATAGTTTTCAAATAAAAAAAATTTACTTTACCAAAAAATAACTATTCCTGCTTGGAAGTTGTGTTTAAAAGCACAAAAAGAAAGAAAGAAAAAATACTTAAAAGGATATGTAATTAGAAATTCCTCTAACTACGAATCACTGATGAAGCATATTATATTTACTGGGATGCAAAGTGCCCAAGGAAAGAGCTTTTCCCCTCATCCTCATGACAAGTTTGTACTTAAAAATAAGTGTGTGTGTATATGTGTGTGTATATATATATGTGTGTATATAAATATATATATAGAGAGAGGGGCATGGTTACTTCTCTGAAAATTATATTAGAAAATGAGGCAAAGGATTTTGGATTTCATTTTTTCCATTTTCATTACTTTTCGCTTTCCTTGTTTGTTTTAGAGGAGGATGGGTGGACAATGAGAAAGGACTTCAAGAAAAGACCCATATGTTATAGCTGAAGCCCTACATGGACCACAGTGCATCCAACTCTACCTCACACTTTACTTGATAGAAATGTTCGCTTGGCAGGTGTGAGGTGAAGAGAGTTACTGAGCAACAATGGTGGCTCCCCTGCCTACAGCACCAAGATCACCTGGAGGAGGGATGTGGAGGCAGCTGATCCTGAGGTGGGGATAGGCACAGCCATCCTGAAGAGCTCCCCAGTGCTTCCCATCTGCCGTACCTGCTCTCTCTCATTCCAACCACTCCTCCCTGGCTGAATTATGGACAAAGGGAATCCGATGAGAAACCAATGTCAGAGGCCAGATTAAAGACCAAGGCCCTGGCTGGTACATGAAGATCGTTTATCTTCTCATCCCTGCCCCACCGCCCTTTCATTCACCCAACATCATTTCTTTCTCCTTCTGAGCACGTACCCTAAAAAATCTCTTTAAAGTCTCTTGAAAATAAACTTCTCCTTCTCACCCTTGATTATACTTTTTCTATTCCTTGAACCCTCAATTTTCTTCCCCTACCTTCCTTCTCTGAGAGTGGCTCTAAATCATTTCCATGTTAGAGATCTCCTTAGCTAACTACAGTTCTCAGTAGTCCTTTCTTTCTCTGAATTTTGACTACCCTTTTATACACAATCCATACCCTTCTATCTAGAATTGGTCAACTTTAATTCATGTCTTCAGTAACTCAGGAGACTACATGGCCTGGAATAGGAA